GGTTTCATCTGCCTTCGCAGCAGCGCGTTCAGTCCATGCGGCTCCCAACACACTCGCTCCCGCAGGTTGTGCCCAGTCGAGCTGTGGGGCTTTTCCCTTCGCTGGCTCTGCTGGAAGCCAAACTGCCACCGGCTCCCCGGAGCGTTTTGCTGGGAGGGGGACCCATGGCCAGCAGTGGCAGAGACCCGCAGCCGGGCTCCCGCGGGGCTCCGGGACGGCCCTGCAAAGCGTTCAGGGTCTGCCACGGGTGCTGGCGGCTGGTGGGATTTTCTGGGGGCTTTTGAGCTGGGGAGGCAGAGACCACCCTGGGTACCCTGTGAAAGTCTGACTCTGGGCTGGAAACGGTGGGTTTAAAGCTATCATCCTCTGCCAGGGTTGATGTGGCGGTGCCAGCCAAAAGCGGCAGGGAACCGGGCTACCAAACTGAAAGTGCTTTGGGAGGCTGGGGGGGTCATGATTGGAGATTTCGGACACTGTCCCTGCCTTCCGCTGCAGGGTCCCAGGCCCCTCCGCATCGTGCTCTGGGTGTGGTGCTGCCTCTTGTATTCGTGCCTGCTTGGATTTAAGTGAATTTGTTGATCTTTGGGACTCGGTGCATTTACAGCGTTAGCAAAAGCAGGTTTTGTTCTGATCCGAGAGCCCGGCTTGGATCTCTTCCTCTGCCCACATCCAACCCCGTTCCATGCTCCCCCCCCGATGGCTGCCAAGGTTCAACCGGGGCTTTGTGTCCCCTGAGCACCCCTGTCCCCACAGGTCCCCTTTGCTAACTTGCTGAGAGTCCTAAATTGTGGTGAGCCTGCGCTGAGCTGCCAAAGCTGTCCCACAGCGGGGGCCGAGACCCCCATCGGAACCCCCTGGCTTGGGGGTGCTCTCCTGGGGCCTGGAGCCTCCCAGCCTGTACTGGCTCTGTGCTGGGGCTCGGGCAGCGGGACCCCACACGACGGGGGATGTGGGGGGAGAAACCCCCTCTGCGAGTCCTGGGGGGAGCTTTCTCAGCTTGGCCCCCTTTCAGCGTGGGGCACAGCCCCCGAGGGAGCCGACCCCACTGCGGGGTTGCCGCCTGGCTCGGGGGAGGCGTGCGCGGGCAGCGGGGCCGTCGGGGCGATGCGGTACGGGGGATGCCTG